AAAAAAAGGAGGAAACTTTCTTATCAGTATAGAGCTTATTAGTTGCTGCAACCCCTTCATTGCTTGCCACTTTGAAGATGTAAGAAGCTAACAACAAGGGGGCTACAAAATTAGCGTCCCTTACTTCTTTCAGTCGTCTCAAAATGGATTCATCAGAGAATGTGGTGGTATTATCCAAAGTGTAGCTGTTAAGAAAATCCAGGTTGGTATCTACTTCAACATGCTACTCCTTTTTTACATCTCACACTGAGCAGATAACTTTTATTATTCATTTTCTCCTCTATGAAAGAGAAACTTCTTATATGTTGAAGCTTTCGAGATGAAGAAAAGAGTCAATATAGCCAAGCTTATCATTGATGTGATTACAAGTCTAGGCTTAGATTAGAACTGCCACGGTCAGAGATACGACAATGGATCCAATATGCCTTAAAAACTTCAAATTATTTAGAAGCTCTGTACGTTCCCAGTAGCGACCACAATCTAAATTTGGCTGGTTTAAACGTAGTTAAATTAGCCATTAAGATCAAATTATTAATTAAAAATGTCAAATTTATGTACTTTTTTTAGTGCAAGTCCTGCCCGATGAAAGATCCTCACTAAAGCGACAGAAATTTTACAGCATAAACTTTCTATGACATAATGAAGCTCGGTACAAGTGCTTAAATAACTTGTCACGAGGCTGAGAGAAATGTGGCAGCTCTTAAACACACCATGAAAAACCTGAATCTGATCTGCGAGCAGCTCAGCCAAGCAAAACCCTTAAAAAATGGTTATCTTTTAATTTTGTATTGCAAATTTCGTTTTGGTACAAAACCCTTTGTACAGTTAACAACGTTAGTTGTTTTCTACAATCTGAAGCTGTTACCTTCAATTACAAACTATGTTTGATTGGACAGCTGCTAGAAAATGCTTTTGATTGCAAATTTTTTAAGAGACTGTAGCTGTTGCTGGACCGTTAAGTTTTGAAACTAAACTTGCTACCAAAAAAAAAACGTAAACTGAAGCGTTTTTATAATGAGGCATTTTCACGACAGCCGAACTAAAGAAGCTTTTTATTGTTAGTTGAGTAATGATGATCTTTCCGTTTAAAATAAAGCTTGCAAAGTTGCACGGTTTTATCTGAGAGATATGAATAAAGAGGGTCTCGTTAAAAAAAGTTTGCCGTTTTAACCATGCCCGCAAAACAGTTTTTAAGCAAAGAATTCCACTGCAGCTACTAAATAAAATCTTTTAGAAGAAGCTTGAACGCCTTTTTCCGTACATTAGTACTATGCTCCACATTTTCAACACAATTTCTGCTTCAGTTGCAGAATGTGAACGATCGTTTAGTAAACTGATGATTTTTAAAAACTCTCTCCGTTTGACCAAGGGCCAGGATAAAGTTACTGATTTTTTAATTATTTTGATTGAAGATTTTGCTAATAAAAATAAGGCTAAAAAAGTGAGCTATGACAATGTCATCGATATTTAATCGACCAGAAAAGCTAAAAAAATTCATTTTTATGCGCCTTATTTATTTTTATCTAAGATTTTGTCGATTGACTTGTCATTTATTGGTTTTAAAACAAATATTTTGATTCGTGTGCCAGATTTGATTAATGAACTGTTTCTCAATCCATACAATTAATAGTAACGTAGAAATAAAAATTCCTGTATCAGAAATAAATAATGTCTGCGTTCAAAAAACTTTAAATTTTTTGGTTTGAAATAGGGGCGCGGTTCTCTATTTTTGACCCGGGCGCCATTAGCGCTCTCGAAGGCCCTGCTGGTATCAAGGTTGTTAAAAGTCTTTTAAAAAATTAAAGATTGCAAACCGAATCCAGGTTTGCAGTCTGATAAAAAGTAAAAAAGATTTTTTAGGAAATCCTCTTAAACCAATTGTTTCAGGGCTTCTCAAAATTTTATGCTCAACAAATAAGTAGCTCATCAAAATGATTTTGGCTTGTCTAATTGCGCTGAAAAATGATTTGAAATGTCAGTATCAGCTATATTTCTTCCTCTCTATTACAGCAAAACTCAAGGAGGAGACAGCTAGTGGAAGGCTTCACGACATAGATAGTGAAAAGTTAATGGGTATGTTTAGTAAAACTAAAGGAAGGTCTCCAAATGCGACAGTTTGTTATATATCTTGCAAAATAAGATCAAAAAAGAAAAAAACTATGGATTATCTAGATAGTCATGATCAAATATCTATGGAATATATAGTTAAGTGGTGATTGCAATCAGCTCATAAAAAAATAATTAACAATCGACTGAAACATACTGCATTATGATGAGAGATTTCAAAATGATTGACAAAAGATGAAAATCAAAAAAAAAAAAAAAAGAAAATTAGAGCGAGAGTTACTTTTCTTTACTTTACTTTTCTTTACTTTACTTTTCTTTACTTTACTTTTCTTTACTTTACTTTTCTTTACTTTACTTTTCTTTACTTTACTTTTCTTTACTTTACTTTTCTTTACTTTACTTTTCCTTACTTTACTTTTCATTACTTTACTTTACTTTTCTTTACTTTACTTTTCTTTACTTTACTTTTCTTTACTTTACTTTTCTTTACTTTACTTTTCTTTACTTTACTTTTCTTTACTTTACTTTTCTTTACTTTACTTTTCTTTACTTTACGGTACTTACTTTACGGTATCTTTACTTTTTAAATTGTCTTTAAAAAATTGGATGCCTTAAATGATGATGTAAAGTCTAAAAGAATTTTTGTAAAAAAACTCAATGGTTTGATACAGGTATAAGCTAGTGTGTCATGTATAATGAGCGAGTAAGAAAGTAAATTAAAGAAACGAAGAATTTAGGTATTATAAATTTCGTGTAAATAAAGTTATTATCAATGTATATATAAATTAAGTTTATTATATTATTAATAAACTGTTTATTATATTATTAATAAACTGCACCAATTGCAGTTTATTAATTATATAATAAACTGTAATTGGTATGGCTTTTTGCTAGCAAGAAATATGACTTGCAAAAAAAAATACCGCAAGTGATGTGACTTATAAAAAAGATACAGCAAGTGGTGTAATTTCCAAAAAATGTATCGCAAGTGGTGTGGCTTGCAATTTTTTTGAAAGACGATTGTGGCTTACGTTCTCGTTACGTCTTACATTAAAAATAGTTATTATTTAATTTCATTGATGAATTGAACACAGTTTTAATCATTTAATAAAAGCAAGACACAAATTAATAATTGTTTAAATTTAAAATATTTTTATTTAAAAATATTATTTTATAGATTTTAAACCTTTTTCTAAATTTCATATAAAAATCTAATACATATTTTTTGTTTAGAAGTAGCACACGCCCCTAAACAAAATCGCCCCTAAATCGATGTGTGTGCTGCTTGTGTAAAGTAGTTAAATAAACTTTTTGTAATTTATTTTTTTAAATAAACATAGAAACATTTATAAAAGGGTTATCTAGTAATAGAATGTGTGTCACGCCCTTTCACCCACTCTAACTCAAAGATAAACCTCTCAAATTTGGCAGTGGTTTGGAAACAAATTAAAACTACTTTTTGTATATGAAATTTAACAATTTCAATTAAAAAAACACTTTTTATGAATAAAATTTGCATTAATTTGAGGTAAAGATGTTGCTTCGGTACCCCTATATAAATATATAATATATATATATATATATATATATATATATATATATATATATATATATATATATATATATATATATATATATATATATATATATATATATATATATATATATATATATATATATATATATATATATATATATATATATATATATATATATATATATATATATATATATATATATATATGTATTACCAACTCACTGGTTACCGGATTGGCGAATACTAAAAAAGCAATATATTTGGATTCTGCAATTATATACAATAAATAATCGCATTAAAAACGATAGGAAAGAAATAATACTGTTTTACATTTAGTTTCTTAATTATAAACTACTTATTTAACTTAGATAACTTTTCGTTAAATAATTTCAAAATTGCTTTATATCTTTGTGAGAATAAAAATATTCAAATAGTTCACATAGTTTATTTTTTAACAAAAGTTAAGGCTCAGGATTTTAGTTCCCCGTTTTTACGGTACCGTACTGTGCTATTTCTACGGCATCTTTTTTAAATAAATTTTAACATTTAAGTTAACCTTTTTAATTGTTTTAAAAAGGTTAGTTATAGATACTGCAAATTTAAAATGAAAATTCCAAATATTTTAATGTTTGAAACAAATATTGAAAATATTTTTATATTTATACGGTGGTAGTGTCTTTATTTCATATGATCAATGGAAGCTGCATTATAACTATTACACAACTCTATGAGCTCCATCATTGTAGCTCCATCATAGTAGCTCCATCATAGCAACTCCATCATATTAACTATTACACAAATTTCTATTACTATAAATTTAAATAATCTCAATACTTATGAAATATTAAACTATTATTGAAATCAGAGATACCGGTCACATTTTTTTTTTTTATATGAATTTATTCATAACA